TCCTTTTAGCAACGCACATTCAGTCCCTCCCCCTCCTCCACCGCGTTATGGATCTCCACCTCTGAAACCCATTGTATGTCTATTTGCTTTTGTAATTAAATATTTTTCACTCTGTTTGATGTTTGGTTTTGCTTATGGTTTTCCAGATTGACCTTAGGAGAGCCCATATCATGGAAATTATGCTTACGAAAGTAAAGATGCCGCTGCCTGATATGATGGTAAGCTCCAAAACCTACTTTACTTGAGTACAAGTCATTACTGGTTAATCTCTTATAGTTTATGATAATTGTTCAMAAWTTTMTTTGCRTCATCWAGGCTGCASTTCTGGCAATGGATGATTCTGTACTAGATATTGATCAAATAGAGAATCTTMTAAAGWTTTGCCCWACCAAGGAGGAGATGGAACTTCTTAAGGTGACCTCTTTTCTTTTGAGTAGCATTATTTACTTTTGTGAAATATGTCATTATTCTTGGTTATCATTATTCACTTGTTATTGACACGAKYCCTTAATCTTGGTTGTAATTGACTGGTTTTGCTGTAGAATTACACTGGTGACAAGACAACCTTGGGAAAGTGTGAGCAGGTCTGTTTAAGTCTTGCGATTACCAATCTCACACTGTTTTTGGTTCCTACTACTAAAATAGTTTGTACAATTTCCTAAGTTRATGTGTTTTCTTCTCTCATCCATTTTGTTTTGTTATYGCAGTACTTCCTWGAGCTWATGAAGGTGCCACGRGTAGAATCGAAGCTGAGAGTATTTTCCTTCAAGATTCAATTCGGCACTCAGGTCTTGTGATATTACTTATACTGTTATATGCTCTCTATCTGATTCTTTTGAGGGAAAAAGTTTTGGTTTCCATCAGTCTCTAAGTATTGTAGATTCTTGGTCTTATTGTTAATGATGATTACTGTGCAGATAACAGAGTTCAAAGACAGTTTAAATGCGGTAAATTCTGCGTGCCAGGAGGTAAGATCCTTCAGTAATTAAGCCTAATTTTTGGGCAGTCTATATGCATTTCTCTTTCTAAGATTTTTTCTCCTTGTTGCTTGTTCATCAGGTCCGTACTTCACAAAAGCTAAAAGAAATTATGAAAATAATTCTTTACCTAGGGAACACACTGAACCAAGGAACTGCTAGAGGTAAGCATTGTATTATTCATTGCATCATCTACTTGTTTTGTCTGAACGCAATTCCTTTGTGGTTGATAAGACCCTTGCTCTGCTTTCTCCAGGTTCTGCAGTGGGATTCAAGTTGGACAGTTTATTGAAATTAAGCAATACACGTGCTGCTAACAGCAAGATGACTCTCCTGCATTATCTCTGCAAGGTAAATTACAATAGCAAAAAGCAGCCTCTAATTGTCCGGTTCAGGAAGGAAACAATATCCTGAAACTCTACTCTTTGTTTCTCCAGGTCCTTGCTTCCAAAGAATCAGGTCTACTGGATTTCGACAAGGATCTTGAAAGTCTTGAGTCGGCCTCAAAGGTTTGCGTTTGTGCTTTTTCCGTCCTCTACTCCTTAGTTGTAATCAGCTCATAATTTGATTGTCCTGTCGATTCAGATACAACTGAAGTCTCTGGCTGAACAAATGCAAGATATAGTCAAAGGATTGGAAAAACTCAACCAGGATCTCACTGCATCCAAAAGTGATGGTTCTGTTTCTGATGTTTTCCGTAAAGTATGTTGTTTTTTTAATCATCATACCAGCTGGAAACTGATTTAGACTTAACTACTTCCGGAATCTAAAACCTAGTTTTATGTATTTGATAACAACAGAAATTGAAGGACTTCATTTCCATTGCCGAGACTGAAGTGGCAACTGTATCGAGTCTTTATGCCGTCGTGGTAATTTGTTAACCTCTACTAGATTCCATGCTCCTTACCTTTGATCCTGAAATGTCTTTTCTGTGGCTTTTTAATGGACAGGGAAATAGTGCTGATCAACTTGCGTACTATTTTGGCGAGGATCCCAAACGTTGTCCATTTGAACAAGGTTTGGCGCGGAATTTAAACCTCATTCTCTTTTGTGCAATACATTACAAAACCAATTTAGCTAATAACAATACCGGGGGATCAACTGCTGCAGTTACTGCGACTCTCTTGAATTTTATAAGGTTGTTTAAGAAAGCTCACGAAGAGAATATCAAACAAGCGGAGTTGGAGAAGAAGAAAGCCGCTAAAGAAGGAGAAGAAATTGGTGCTCAA